TCAGCGGCGGCAGGGAGGGGCGAGGCGGGGGGCTCTCCGCGGCTCGGGTAAGCCTGCCGGCATTTACCTGGCTTCTCCTCACTTCCCCGGGCCCGTCGCCGCGGGACGTTAAGAGGGGGTGGTGGGGAGCGCCGCGGCTGGTTTTGGCGGGCTTTATAGCCACCACCTGCGTGAAGCGCCCGGGCGGCTCGGCTCGGCTCCCCGGCTATGTACCACGCAGGGAAAAAAAAATGAAATCAGAGGCATCTTATTCGTGTGAGGTTGGGAAACTGTGGGTGCTTAGCACAGCTAAAATGTAATGTCGCTTGAGGGCCAGAACTTGAGCCCTCTGTCTCTGAGCGAGCCTGGCGCTATCGGCACACGAGAGCGGGTGGCCCTGGCTGGGCCGTGGCCTGCAGCCGGTCCGCGGGACAGGACCCTGCGAGAGGCAAACACATCCCGTTCAGCTCCTGCACAGCCTTCCAGGTTGCATGGCTTGCTAGCGCACCTCCCAACGGACATTCCCCTCACCTGCTGCCCAGGTGCACCTGCAAGAGCACTTCTCTTCACAAAGGAGCTATTTCAACCACGGTCACAATCTCCGTTGCCCTTCCTTGTCCTTTTTGCCAATTCAAATGTGTCTCTAGCAAGTGGGGAAGCGACCAGGGCCGATGACAGAATCATTGAGCTGTACGATGCACATTGTGTTCATTTTCTTGTAGCAGCTGAAAAGAGGGAACTGGACTGTTCTAGTTCAGTGTGATTTCACATGTACTGTGCTCTAAGTAGTAGAGAGAATTAAAATTTCGGGAGAGAATGACAGTGATGCTTGTGCTCAAATCAGTAGTGAAATAAAATGTAGCAACTGTAAATCTGGGTGAGAAACAGCTGAGGGAGAATATTGTCTAAAACTGCATGTGATAGGGACAAGATAAGTAGGAAATAGTTGGTTTGTCTGTGATGGTACAAAAAATTTTGGGATACTAAGTGGACATAATGATAGATTCAGAACAAAGAAAAGTACATGTCTCTTCATATGATGCATAATTAAGATGTGGTACTCATTGCCATATGACATTCCAGATGCTAGAAAATATACATGGTTTCAAAAAAGGGCAAATTCAAGGAGCAATCTGTTATGGGGTGTGATGCACTAAGAACGTATCAGCTTCAGGAAGTCCAGGATATGCCTGCTGCTGAAAGCTGGGACAGGAAAGTTATTTGCTGTTTTTCATGTTCTCGTACTCTTCCCTAGGCACCTTCTGTGGCCACTCTCAGGAATGGGATGCAAGATTATACTGGCCTTTGATCTGAGCCAGTATTCCTCTTCTTATATTAGTACTGCTTTAGGATTAAAGGTTCCACTTACATATATCGCCCTCCTTGAGGAACTCTTATGCTTATACCGCTATCTACAGATGATTTAGATTTATTGGTCATTTAATTTTTTTTTCCAGAAGTACTTGTGACAAGCATCTGAGTCTGTACTATTTGCTATATATGTTAGATAGCCTCCTGCACCCGTGAAATAGTGGTTTTATTTTCATGGTAAGCATACAATATTTTGGTTTTGTGAACACAGCTGGGCATTTTCTTCATTAAATGCATGTTTCTCTTTTGAATTACACAACTTCATTTAAAATACTGGCCTTCTAATGAATGATTCTAAAATGTTCTCTGACATCAGAGTGGTCATCTGAGGAGAGGACCACTGCATGCTACTGGCTACAATTTGTGCTTTGAACTTTGGTTTGTTCCAGACCTTCCCACAGAAACTTTCTGGGGCTAGCCGATTTTACAGTGTCATTAACTATTTATAATGAGTTAACCACTGGATGACACAGAAATACTTAAAATGCTGGATAAAACCTTGAATTAGAGCATTTTCAGATGTTGGCATACTTTACTAGTAACTTGAAATTGATTTCATTCCCCTGATTCAGGGGCCTGTTTTTACTGACCAGTTGTATTAGCCAAAATATTTTCAGAAATACCTGATTCACATTTCTGCCTTTGGAACATGACTAAAAAGCTCTTTGTTTAACAGTCTATCTCTGAGTTTATATACATTTCTGTCCTACTTTTTTTTCTTTTCAGAGAAGAATTAATTACAGAGGATTATGGGTCAGACTTATACAGGAATTAAATGCCTAATACCCCTTTGATTTCTCACTGAAAAAAATGGGATTTACTTACCAAAATACCTCTACAAATCTGAGTCTATGACTCTTTTTTTTTTTTTTAATCTTGAATAGACTATGTGTAAAATGCTTGTTCTTAGGTATTTTTCTCATGTATAATGTTATTATCATTGTCTTCCTGAAATAGGTAGAAACAGATGACCAAACAGCCCTTGTTAGTAAGCCCAGGAATAAAGGAGGAAACAGTGATCTTGCTTCAGCTGGATTTAACATTATCAACTCTATCATAGGATCAGGTATTATAGGTAAGTACAGTTTTCTTCAGTATCCTGTGTTCTATCCAGTTTGGCGAATAACACTGTCATCTTACTTTCTGCTGCTGTTCCTAAAGATTTGTCTCTATTTTTTTTTGCTTTGTATGTAAAAATGCAGAAGTGTCAGCTGAGATCACATCTCAGTCAGAAATACCCTACAGCCTCTTTCCTATAATGATCAGAGAGAATTGGCTGTGCATGTGCTGAGTGAACTTCACACATAGGCAACACTTTGTCACTGAAAATGATCTTTCTGAGGTTATTAAGCATGATGGTCCAATTTGAGAGATTGATAGCAATTTTTTGAATCAGAATATTTCTTTATTTTGATCACAAATAAGTATTTGAAAAGGTTCTTCTATAATTTCTTCTTATTTTACAGGATTGCCATATTCAATGAAGGAAGCTGGTTTTCCACTAGGAGTACTGCTTTTATTTGGGGTTGCCTATATCACAGGTACTCTAAAAGCAGTTTCTGTTGTAAAGTGAAAATTAGTCTTGCAACATTTAGCTGATCTTGAGCTTAATGGTATTTTAAGCAAGTATATGTATGGCAATAAAAATAAAAAAATTTTTTCCTTTACCTTACTAATCCCTTGAGCAGATTAGTAAAAGTAGAGAATTATACTGTACAACATACAAAGCTGCTTTTTGTGTGCATTTTATTTTTGTGAAGCCTAATATCTTAGGCTAGGTCAAGGTGACATTTGAAAGAATAGCTCTTATTTGTGCCTCATAATCACCCGTTTTAGTCCACAGTTTTTACCCTAATTAAGAGACTGATCCTTGGGTTGAATATCACTTTTTAAAAAATACACTACAGAAGGAGAACCTTTGGTTGTACTATGATTTTGAATATTTTATTCAATTATCATTCATTTAAAAAATAATGGATTTACCTTCAAAAAGGGACAAGTTTTGAAATCATATGGTAGATAAATGTAAGTAAATCCATTGGCAACAAAGGAGAATTTTTGTAAAGAGTCTGTGGATTCAAGTCCTAAAATGACAAATCATATCAACATGAGTGGCACAAATTCTGCTGTGGCTGTATGCTGAGCAACAGTTGATGCTTTTCATTGCGTAAAGTATAATTTAAGGGCCTGCGTAAATGATTAAGGTTTCTATGAAGAGCAATATAATGTAAGAAATGTGTTTCTTATGAATGGAAAATTTTCTGGATGGCTGATGGCAAAATACATTAATGAAATCATATCGTAAACATAGCTCAGAAATTCAACTACTTTTCTGCAGGAAATCTGATTTGTCCTTTGCATTTATACGTATTTTGAAGACTTTTTAGCCAGACCTGTGAATTAAACTCAGCATTTTATTATGTTAAAGGTGTGTCTCAACATATCTTGCATGAGCAAATTATAGTTACAACTTTTTGACTAGTAGCTTTTAAAGTACAGGCTAAATATATAACATTAGTATTTATTTTCCATAGCTTTTACTGAGTAATTGGTGATAGCTGTTATTTAGCAGTTCTCACTGTATTTCATTTTGGGGTATGTTTTTGAATTGTACTGGGTTTAGTCCTACATTGACAAATACAATTCTAGGTCATTTAACAATAAATCTTTTTCAAGTTTTGTGAGTCTAAGATCCCTTACAAAGACTTAATATTTCTTGTACAAGATCAGCTCAGTGTGCAACATAATTGATAATGAACAATTCTGTATTTCTATTTTTGTCGCCTCCCAATTATAGTGTGAGTATATACTTTGTAAAAATTGCATATGCTCACAGTAATCTCTGCACTGGCTTTCACATTAACAAATGGTAGAAATTTTCTTTGTAAAGACTGTGAAAATGTCATCATTTCAGTAATTCCCAGAAGATAATAAACACCAATACTCTTCATAGAAAGGAGCTGTTCCTATCGCAGTATAGATTACAAGCTAAGTGAAAGCCAGGTCTAGCTACTGTCTGTCAGGACGTCTGCACCAAGGTAATAAATTCTGTGCTGTAACTAATATGGACTTGAAAATCCCATGGTGCTCAAACGAATACTAAAGCATAGATTGATAAAACAGCAATATCTCAAAATGTTCTTTAAAAAGCTGAGGTTCAGTCTAGGATTAATTCCACACGCTGTCTCAAGGCACATTGCTTTATGGGTTTACAGATAAATCACTTTGTGCCTGTTTTATTTTAAAAGTATTCAGTAAAAATGTTTATAATATTTTTATTGTAAACAATGGAGAAGACGTAAAATACTAACCAGGCTTTATCTTTCACAAACCTAGATAAATAACTAAGTAAAATGATTGAGAATTCTAGCACCATGACACAGGCAATCCTCACATGTTACCCCCTTTCAGGATATAATTAAGTGCTCCATCCATTCAGAACCATCTGCATTATTAATCGAATTTTCCTTTTTTGGTGTTTGTGACAGTTTTCATTCTCTTTGACCATACTGGAGTCTGTTTCTGCTGTCCCTAATCAGGAAAGCTGGAATTCCCTTCCAATATGAGCCTATAACTCTTGGGTTTGAGGGATTGAGATCCTCTGAGGTTTCTCATCCTTGCTCTTCCCAGTGACACTGTTTTCCTTTTCACAAACTTTGGGGTTTTTTTAAGGAGTAAATTAGATGAGGGGTAACCAACCACAAGTTGATTCATACTGTCTTTAACAGTAATTTTATATTTTAACAGATTATTCCATTATATTACTGATCAAAGGAGGAAACCTCTCCAGTACCAACACCTATCAAGAGCTGGTCAGAAAAACATATGGTCTTGTAGGTTATCTAATTCTTTCAACTCTTCAATTTTTATATCCATTTATTGGTAAGATCACAAAAAATAGAAAAGTTCAAGCTTTATAAATAACAAGCTTTTTCACATTACCTCATTCTTTCACTGGTTAAATACTAAGCCCTCTGTAAAGTAATATACTGTGTATGCCTCTTTCCTATAAAAAAATACCTGGTGTGTTCTGAAGAATGACTGAGGAAGAATTCATTGAATTGGAGGACCAGAAAAATAGAAATGAACTGAAATGTAATAGCAGAGAAATTAATGATCACACACTTAAAAACTAATGACAAAAGTAGCTATGAAAAATACCAAAGAATAGATTCTCTTCTATAATGAGTAACAAAGCACATGGTTGATGTCCCTGAAACAAAAGCAAAGTATGGCTTTAGGAGTATATTGAATTAATATTTTTCCAAAGATGTAGTATTAGAAACCACTGATCAGATCTTGCTTGAATATTACATTCTGTCATTGCTCTTCAAAAGCATTAATTCAGCCTTATACCTAATGAGCTACTATAAAACTGGGCAGTCGAGACCTCTTTGAAGAAGAAATAGTGAAAGAACAAATGAGTAGAAGAATCTGGGCAGGAATTAATTAGACCAGAATTTTAGAATAAAGTGATATTCTGAATTTGTCCCCTACAGTACCTACTTAATTAAATAAAATCTTAAATAAGCTTGATATTTTCACACATGGGGCTGCAAGAGGTGGTGACGAGATACCATGAGTCTGGATTCAGTGACCACAGAGTCCTAGATCAAAATCCCTACTGCAGGAATAACTAGTCTGAATTGATTACAGGTAGCTGAGAATTTTAAGGGAGTCAAGTTACTGTTACTGCAGGTAATAATGTTAAACATGCTGACTTAAAAAAGAGTATAATTACTACTTCAGAGAGAATATGACAAAGAATTGTAAAGATCTCAGTCCTTACAATGGAACCAGTTATGCCTATGTATGTGCTTCAGTTGATTTCTCTAAGTAGTGTAATGACTTACAATTTCACAACAGCAAATATTTATGCATTAGTTAAGGTTGGGACCTATAGGTATGCTGTCCTAATGGTGAAGACCACATGAGTATATAAATATATTCTGTGCGTATGTATACACACGCATGCACACATATACACACGTATAGTGTACAATAACATAACAATGAAATATGAATGTTAAGGCCACAGTTCTTGTTAATGAGAGGAAGTAATGGAAGTCCATATCTGATATCTTCATCTATTTTCTCCTCCTTTCTTCCAGTGTAAAGATTTTGCTAACTTTTTATATGAGGTAGGAAGTCCTGTGCACTTGATTGCAGGACTGATTATTAGGCTAACACAGGAACTTTACTAAAGAGAAATGATTTGAAAATTAACTGACAAAGAATTGCTGTGGGAAACATAATTTTAAAAAGCCTTTTTAAACTTACTAAGAAGTAAGTTTATGTGGCAAGTCAGCACAACAGCCTTGCTTCTCAGACTGGATTCTTGCTTAGATTGTACCTGTTTAAGAATTTAAAAAAGATAAAAATAAAGGGGAGCGTTAAAGAATTTTTTTTTTCATTGTAAAACTTAAAATTTGTTGGTAGCCAGAATTCAAGAGGGATGGTGGCACATAATCCTGAAGTCTACAAAATACATGTATTAAAGGTTTATCAAATATTTCATATTTGATTTCTACTAACCAAAAAAAATTATTTTCTTCCAGCTATGATCAGTTACAACATAATAACAGGAGACACTTTAACTAAAGTTTTTCAGAGAATTCCTGGAGGTAAGATGCATTTAACAGGGCAAATGTGTTAGATAGGAGTATAGCATGAGTATTCAGGGATTACGTGTTACGTTGCTTCTAAATTACTCTTAAATATAATTCCAGTTAAGAACTGAGGCATATTTGTATAAGTGGGTTTTTGACGGTTTTTTGGATTTTTTTAATGTCTTTCTCAAACAAGTCCTTGGTTATCACTGGACTCAGTGTCAGTGAAGAAATCCCTTGCTTCAGTGAAATACTAGGCAAATAGGAAGAGTATTCCACAGGGGTCTGTTTACAGTGTCATCATATTTTGTCATCTTTTTTAGATATTTCCTATTATAATCATTTGAATACTGAAACTGTATCTAGTGAATAATTCTGAATGACTTACAAATAGTATAATGGATTTAATGCTTACTTAAACATATCTGTAATAGTTGGTCATGAATTGCAATGTAACTTTAAGTTCTCTTAACTGTTCTCTTCAAAACCAGATGTGGCATTTTGAGCGTTTTTACTCATGCACTTATTACCCTTCCTCTGCTGTAAGTTTTTCCAGCAGAATCAGTGGAGATTCGCCATCTACTTTAGCACAAAGCCAGCTAAATTAAAACATTCTTCACTGGGAAATTAAAAAGAACATGTCTACAATGAAGTGGAAATTAGTATTTGTATATACTGTTTGATTTCTACAGGAGGACTACAATTTTCAGTGAGTGAAGCCTGCAAGGTGTGATTCAGTTTTAACTGTCACACTCTTGTTCTGTAAATACCTGACCAGGTTGATAGTAACCGTGAATATCTAATAATCTGTGTACAATATGACTTCACTAATAGGAGGAGCCCTCAACATGTCACATTTTTTCACCTAAGTGATAGAATATCTGCCTGGAAGGAGGTGGAAAAGCATTATAATCTCCCAAAGAATAGAGGGAACTGAACACAGACCTTCCATGTCAGTTGCCAGTTACTTCTCAGCCATAAGTACTCAGCAAGCTTTCATTCAAGGCCATGATTCATGGTAGTCTGACTGAAACTGAGATATGTTTTATTTTCTGTTGTCATTGGCTTGAAAAAAACACCAGTTGTACAAATAAATTCCACGTATTGCAAGGAATATTATAACATTATAGTTGCCTACACATGGTAATCTGTATTCTGCGAGTGGAAGCAAGCTGACAACAAGAAAGGAGGTACTCAAGCCTCAAAATTAACTTATTTTAGGATCGTTCTTTAAGAATTTGTTTATCTTCAACAGCACTGTAATTGATGTCAAAACACAGTGTCAAAAAAATCCTCAAGAGTAAATGGCAGAAAGAAGTAGTAGAATGTTTTACTTGCTAAAATGTCATTACCAACATGTCATTGCCAACATTGACCCAGGCATAATGAAATAAATTACTATTAATCTATGTGTAGAAATACCAGACTGCCCAAGTTTGGTATAATATATCCCGTATGTTATGCATTTGCTTTGAATTTGCAGAATTCTTGTGATTATGCACATGCTGTGTATGGCTTTCTAAAGGTTAGCTTAGTGCTTAGTCTTTATTTCAGTGTTACTTAGCATGAGTAAAGGAGATAGAAGTCTAGTCAATATCAGAGTTTGGTACTCCTAGCTTTTCAAATGTATCTAATGTCTTTCTCATGTCAGTCTCTTAGAGAAGTAAATTATTTTCTCTTTTGCTTTAGTTGGACCAGATAACGTGCTTACTGACCGTCACTTCATAATTCTCCTCACCACCATCATCTTTACCTTGCCTATATCTTTATATCGAGACATAGCAAAACTGGGAAAGGTAAGAGTGGTTTACTTTTCTGTATGTCATTAAGAAAATAAGTGTTAGACACAATGTATTTGAACTCAAATACATCTGGCTAGAGCATGTTAAATATTTTAGAAGTTCAGACTGTCTTCTGTTCCAAGAAATATCAGAAAACTTGGAATAGTGTAAGCAGAACTTTGGTCTCCATGTGAATTGCTGGAATTTTTCCATCCACTGCTAACACAGATAAAATCTTGTAAAGCGCTAGATGATGCAGGCTTGATCTTGAAATGCTGAGCACCATTGATTAGAAATGTTTAAATGGGAATAGCACTTAAAATTAGACAAATTGTTGCAGTTATTGCAATTGGCTAGTTACTCAAAAGAATAACAAAATATGATGATGTGGGAAAAGCTTTCTAATGGTGAATATTCGATGTGATACTTCGAAGTTTACTTGCTTGTTAATTATTCTTAAAAAAAAAAAAAAAAAAGTACCTCATACTGCTAAGAGGACAACCTTTCAGCAGCTTACTGAAGTGGTGTTTTTACCTTTACAGGTATCTCTTATTTCTCTGATTTTAACCATTGTCATCCTGATTATTGTGATGGTGAGAACAGTAACATTCAGTCCACAAGTGTAAGTATTCTTACGCTTGTCACAAAGTTAATTTTTGATCATATGTAATCTGTTATTTCACTATTACATGCATCTGCATAGTTTTGGAACCTGGCTGTTTGGGGAGAGACATAATTGAAAAAATAAACCTGTATTAACAGTAATACAGAATGAACTGCTAAAACATATATTATCCTTTTTTTTTTTTTCTTCTATTGTACATAAGCAAATGTAGAAAAAAACCCTACAGATTAATTGGAAATTGCTGGTGATATGGATGAGAGCAGGTGACTCCTGAATGGGCATGTAAGGTTGTTTGTCATTTGAGAAGGCTTTAATTTTATCCATTATTGTCATATGGCCTATATTTGCAATCTTAAAATAGATAGTATCTTAGGAATATTTCTTTTTCTGTTAATATAATGATTTCATAATAAAAGTTAAATACAAATAATGAAAGGAAAAAAGAGAACACAACAATAAAAACTTTATTCTGTCACTTGAGAAAACCACAATATAAGCATGCAAAACTTTTCCAGCACTCATGCTCTGAAAGTATTTAACATTGAAGTATTCTAGACAATTCAGTACACAGAAATATGTTGTGGCAATATTTTTATAATTATACTGCAAAAAAGTGTTATGAAGATATATTAATAAAGATGACAAGCTATTTCTGAATGTGTTTGTTTATTGGAATAGTTTTATATAGTATTTCTAAAGTTTCTGTAAGAAGTGGATTTTTCCACCATGATTGTTTCAGCAGTGTTATACATAATTGTTCATTTGTCTTCTACGGTATGTGGGTTAATTGCAGGGTATTCATGTTTAATCTAGAATAGGAGTTCATGATGTCATCAATCATCCATAAAACGATGCACTCAGAACAGTATGGGACTTCCACACCCTACCCCCACCCCCCCATCTTTCTGAAGCAGCATGTTTCTCATACTGTGTGTCAAAGAGGTATTTGGAAGGCTAATCTCAAAATCCTCTGTCAAAAAAGGAAGAAGTTGTATGTACTGGTTACTGATGACCTTGTTACTATGGTAACATATCTTCTCAACAGTTTTGATGCACTGAAAAATACAAAATGAATGGATTTCTTTTTCTCAAAATAAGTAATGTTGGGTTTTGAGTGATTCTTGAAGTTTTCCTTTTTAATTCTTCAGAAACTTCCATTTTGCCTTTACACTTCCTGTTTTCAAAAATGCATCTAGCAAGTTGATAAACTTAATCAGAATTTTCTCACAAACATTGTATCAATGTCTTTACTATTTTTACTATTTTTATTTTACAGTTAGAAATAGATACATACTTTATTGAAACCCTCTTCTAATATTTTGTTAATGGTATAATGGTATGAGAATAAAGAGCACTAATATATTTTAATATAGGTCCCATCATAGTATTATAACACGTGAAACAAGTAAATAATGCATTTACTATGAATGCTTATTAAAATACAATAAAAGTTGGAGTTTTCAAAGAGATTTTAAATCATGATTATGAAACAGTCCTCAAATCTGTCATATCTGAAAAGAATTGGAACAATCCTAGGTAAAGGCTTGATGGGGCCAAGAAAGACTCTTTAATCCCTACCATTGTTGCATGGCACAACTGATTGTATGGCTGTCATTGATGACAGGTGATCATCTGGTTTGTTCTTGGCAATTCAATGATCTCCCATTCCAGTTCTTAACTAGCCTTTTCTTATGAATTCTTCCTAAATATGTATCATATGCCTCTCTTACTGCATTTCACGTTGGTTGCTTCTTGGCCTAACCACAGTGGATATGGACAGCAAACTGTCCAGTCTTTTTCAAATGCTTAAAAAACACCTGTAAAGAGCTGTAGCTTTTTCCCCTTTGGTGATTCTTTCTATAAACAAACACCCGTTCCTTTAATTTTTGTCATTTCCTGGGCTACTGATCATTCTCAATGGCTGCCTTAAGTTCTCTGCAAATTGAAGTGAGATCATGGTGCCCCAGCTGCCTGTGGTATTCCCACTGTGAAGCAGAGAAGAAAGATTGATGTATTTTATATTCAAAGTGTCTTGAGGTCTTGCTCTATCTTTTGGGGGTTCCCACACTCTTGTTTATATAACCTAGTTTGCTTGCTTCTGGAAAACAGCATGACACTGTGGACGTGCCCAGAGTTTGCAATCTCACAGAAGCACCAAGCCCTTCTTTTCAGAAATGTAAGCTGGCAATTTTCCCTTCCTTTTACTCGGTTCTCATGAAGTTTGGGGTTTATTTTGCTTGTTCCCCTCGGCCTTGTTCTCATAAAGCCTTTTTTTCCCAGCATAACTGTAGAATTTGTCATTACAGGATTGAATACTGCTTTATCAGATGGTTTCTCCATTTACCAACATATTTACGATTTTTCTTTTTTCACCCAGTTCTCTAACATGCTTGTGTTAACTGCACATTTCATGCTTTCTATTAAGGATGCTTCTTACTTTTTGTTCCATCATTTAACGAAAGTGCTGAACTCAGGTCAGGTTCCACTGGAATCCTGTTCAGATATCTTCCCACTTTGATAATTACTCTCTGAGTAGTATTCACTTACCTGTAGATTTTTCAAAGTGAAGATTACTTCCCCTTGGGAAGTACAACAAGATTATCCAGGGATGATAAAACTGTTTTTTTGCCTAAATGCAATTCATGTTCTAGTTGAAAATTATATCTATTATTTGGACAACTGAGAATATTATCTTTCCTAGAAACCTTCTGCAGTGTGCTTGACCATAAGCAAAACAACAAAATTGTTACTGTTTTTAATGATTTGATGTACTTGAAACTGTAGGCCGGAAAACAGCAATTTTAAGTCTTTAAAATGTTGCATTTTTACTTTATTAAATATTTTTAGTTGCTTTGGGAGTGGAGGGGGTTGTCCAGGGACATTATAGGAATGTTATTGTCTTGTTACTTCTCAGGGGGAAAAAAAAAAAGTATTTAAGATGAGATATTATTTAATTTTTTTCTCTTACAACACATATGAAACTGAGGTACCTTTTTTTTTTCAGTTTTGCTTTTGATTAATATAATTCATATGCTTATTGTTGCCTGAAGAACATAATGAACCTGCAGATAAAATCCAGTGTTCTGTACTCAGACTTTAGTCTCAATGGTTTAAGATGTTGGATGAAAATACATTTTGATGATCCATTCTTTACTTTATTTCCACCTGTTTATAGATGGGAATTTTTCTACTGTGATCAAAAACAATGGGTTAGAATTATCTCAAACTGTAAATGTGTAGTATATTAATACTGCATAAAGTAATGCTTCAAAGCTGAAACTAACATTCATTGCTGTAAAAAGCAATATTTTATGTAGTTTTTAAAGATGGATCATTTTAATTTGGTGTTCTTTTGGAAAGAATGTCATGATGTCAGTGTCTGCATAATACAGAAATCTCTAGGAAAATCTTCCAGAGCATCTGCTACACATAAATAGGATGTGAGAATTACTCAACTGGCAGCTGATCACAGGGATGAAACACCAAGTGTTCAGGAAAATAACTTGAAAGTAGAAAGTTTATTCTTTCCTTCATATAAATAATCCAATAGTATGAAAAGATAAATTTTGATGAAATTTAAAAAGTAAAATCTAAGCTACTGTATTTACAGAACTGCGAAGTAATCATTAAGGAAGAAAGAGGAGTTAAACCAGCTGTAACTAAGTGGGGATGACATAGAGCTTTGCCTCATCTTTTTTTCTTTAACAACCAAGATGATTCTGATTAATGTAAAATTCAAGGCTGATGTGAGCATTACTCGTTTTCTTTTCATTATATTGGTTCAGGTAATATTCAGCATCTAAAGCTTCTTAAGTATCTTTAAACTTTTAAAGTTCAAACAAAAACTAAAATGCTATTTCACCTTAGAATAGAATTCCATTTAAATTTTACAGTTAGTTTTCTAAATGTCTAAATCATTGAATTAAACCTGTATTAACCTGCTATGTGTTCCTGGATTATTTTGATAACTGCTGATTTGCACCTAAACTTGGTGGTTTATTACAGATCTTCAATGCAAAACAATAGAAGTCTTTTGCTTGTTCCAACATGTAGCTCCCCGTCAAACATATGACTTTGCTTCTTTAGAAACTAATTTTTTTTCAGTCAGTGTTTCATACCTGCAAGCTGGGTTGAGATCAGGGATGTATGTTTCTCCTGTCCTCCCTAAAGATACTTTGCTTGTGATGCACTCTGTTGCTGTATTTTATTTGGCAGCATTTCTACATAAATGACAGAAAAGATTTTTGCATAACATGGATCTTAAGATGGGGAATGTTACACTGTAAATGTTTTACAAGAAGTAGGAGATATGTGAAATGCCTTTTAACCCTTAAGATGTCTTAACCTTTGCCTGGTTCATTTTTTCTTTTCATTTTCCCCTGTTCTTATGTAGGTAAACATAAATTTTTAAAACTTATTTCAACTCACTAACATGTTTATTATGCTATACTTTCCCTTAAGTATAGTTAAGATTGAGTTGTTGTTTCTTAACCTCTAGGCTTTCTTCATTGCTAGGCTTCGCTACCTTCCTACACACAGTTTTAATTGTCAGTCTGTCTTGCTGTTGTCTTTCTTTCAGCTAAGATTTTTCTCTCTCTGGGATCTCCCTTGGATGTCTTTTTGTTCAATCTTTTATTTTTGTTCCAAAAATCATAGTTGTATTACCTTTCAGCTTTTACTTTGTGATACAACTTCTACTACACAGTATACAGTACAGTTCTCAACAAATGCATTTAGTATCACAAATGTGTTTCTTCCATTAACTTTCATTGTGTTTCATCTAACTACTTCTCCTTCTTCTCCAGAATGAAACAAACTTTGTGTTCATGCAGGTATAGGCTGTGTTATTATACACTGAGAGGAGCAGTAAGCTAGATGGTTTTGTCATTTATGGATATTTGCAGCTATTGCTGTTCTTGTATGAGCGGAAGTTAAAATCTTCCCCTAATAATTCCTAGCAAGAATGTAGGTCAAACTGGTCAGAAGAAAGGTCCTTCTCAAAAAAAAAAAAAAAAAAATTCCATCTTGAGCAGTAGCAGAAAGATAGAAAAGCAGAACCAGTATAGTGTTACCTGGTGTTCCAGTGATAGACTCAGCTGACGTATGTATCTGGCTACACAGACACATGTATTTATATGAATATGTGTTTACATTGATAAATGGTACATGATATTTCTATTAGATGCCCTTTGTCTTGAGTCATTTTAAGCAATTATTCACTGTATGGCTCTTCCATAACTAACAGCTACTGTTTCCTGACACAATTTTCCCTTTCGAGTCTGAAGTCTTACTTTATATTGACACTTTCATGTCACCTGCAGCGTTTTCCAGGAGCTTTACGTAAGTCTCTATGTCCTGCAGGCTAGACTTGGGGATGATTTGTTGTTGATACGGTCAGAACTCTAGAGCTGTTGACTCTTACAAAATTTTGTACTGTGTTGCTTTCACTTCTTAGTTTATATCTCACATCTGTGTGAGATCCCTCTAGTTCCAAAGTATGAAAACATTTTTCAGAACACATGCAGCAGTATATGACTTACTGTAAGGAATAGTCATATGTGCCAATGTGCATTGTATCACACTGCAATCCGCTGCTATTCAAATCATGGATCTGAAATGCTTCATGCTTTCTGCAACTAGATGGAAGGAATTTATCTTATGTTGCTAAATAAGCAGGATTTTGTTCTTTTGGGTTCCCCCCCTGCCAATACTTTTAATCTGATTCATCATTCATCCATAAAGCAAAGCTGTTTTGATGTGTTGAATATAGCTAGTGCATAAGCTTACACTATGCAGGGGGAAAACTAGCTCCTGTGATATTTTTACTTCTTTTACATTTATTATTTGGCCACTTTATTAAAACTATTTTAACTGAAATTCACATGCTTTCTACATTCCATTTTTAAAATCCTTATTTATAGAAGTTTATAATATAGCTATACTGTTGCACAGGATGTACAATTTTCACAGAAGTTAAATGTGTTCTAGACAAAAACATGTTTTATTTTTGTGCATTTTAAATTTTTTTTGTTTATAGGGTATTAGCTAATCTAAGTGTTAATTATTACTAGAAAAAGGGGTATGGAGACTTACAAGTAATGTTGTCAAAGGATAATATGAAACAAATTTTCATTCTGTATGTTTGATATCAAAGCTGACCTCTAGTGGTTACAGAATGGAACAATTGTAATGCTAGCTTTCTATATTTTATGTTGGATTATTGATTTTTTTTTTTCCCCTCAATCAGATATGAATGCTTTCCTGAACAATAATATATTCAAAATTATGCATATGAGTTGGCCACAGACATCCCTAGTGTTTCGAAAGCAGTAGCATCAATTAAGGGAGGCTACTCTATATAAGGAACTACAGCAGCTATAGTGGGTCTGTTTCACAAGAGAAATGCCAGATATTCTATTTCACCTACGTGCTGCATCAGAATATTTTAGGAGGGCCATATTTATCTGCTTAAGACTAGAAGCAGGATGTTACAATATACTGCATCTAAGGACAAAACAACTGAACTTGATTTTGATGCTCAGGTTCTGTTCACTTCAAAACTAAGCTTAGCAAACAAGAGCTGAAAAGGTGCTCTATGTCTGAAATGAATGTGCATTAGATGCTGTAAATCTGGGGGCTTTTTAATATAGAAAAGGAAGGATTAACTATTTGATGTCTCAAGAAATAGTGGTATGAGTTCTGAAAGGGGTAACAGCAACATCTTTTTTTTGTCTTTTTTTTTTTTCTTAATCTTTTAGGAGGTAGGGGTGGAGTTTGAATATCTTAAAGTAATGAAACCTAGCAAAGCATATGCCACTATGGCTGTCAAAACCAGCTAGTTATCACTAGATGGAGAGACAAAGCTACCATTGTTACTGCTTTCTAGGGCGGTAGGAAAGTAACAGCTAAGGCCTCAGGTGGCACAGCTTTCCCGTCTAAATAAAAACAGAGCAATCAAAGTTAGCAGCACAAAAGTTAACTTTTTATGAACAGCTCTCTTTGGCTATGCTTTAATATTACAAATATAATGTTCAACTGCATTGTGAATTTCATTTTATATTTTTAGCAAATTGTAGTTTTGGAAAAGGATGTTTCACATCCTTCCCCTTTCCTTCATTTTGGGTCTTTATTCAGAGAGGAAGTTCATGCATCAGATGAATTTTAACAAAGTTTTCTGATGGTTTTCTGTGGTCCTCCTCTAGGAATTGCAAGCACCACAGGCCCAAAATTGTGGGCATGTCATAGAGGAGCAGATACGGGAAATACTACATTCTTGTTTGATTATAAAAGTCTCCACATACTCTCACACCTTTATTACTCCTTTGGGAACTAGCAGAATCCCTTTACTATGAGGAATAGTTGAAACAGCTATAGAGAAAAGCAAACTGGCTCATTTTATTTCTAGCCTACAAAAGTATCTTTAGACTGCATGGATTACATGTTCAAATTCAAAGGAAGAAATTGCCTCTAAATAGGCAGAAGAGATTTTGGGTTGAGATAACCTTAGAATCAGTAAAAACTTTTACCTTCCTTGTTGATGTTTCTTGATATATGATGACTTGAAAAGTTTATTTACAAAACTAGTCACTGAAACAGGCTGACATTTCTGTAACCAGTTTTTACAGCCAAAAATACTTTAACAAAACAAGAGAGGTGGGAAGAGTGTCTCCGTCATTTCAACTTATTGTTGAAGAAGAGTGTGGCCTACTTCAGAGAGTTCTGGAGATCTGACTAGCAGTTCTGTATTACAGCATAAAATTTGAAGTTATTTTTAGTAGCTGGTAGTGGAAAAGAGGATAATCTTTTAAAACAAATGTCTGTTTTAGACCCAAATCAGAAAATGCGTGGATATTTGCAAAATCAAACGCAGTACAAGCTGTTGGGGTGATGTCATTTGGTAAGTAATTTTTGTTGTATTCTCAATATTCAGATCAACTGTAGGAAATTACTTTCTTTAATATTTCAGACCGAGAAGTTGTGGGTTTTTTAATTGTAATTTTTTTATATTCATGTTAAGCTGATTTAGAAAAGAATAAAATTGACTTCGAGTCATCCATTGCCCATCTGGCCCTAGAGGCTGTGACCACTGTAGCAGAGACAGTGGTGTAGCACGTGAATCCAGCTCAACTGTCTAGGTCATCTTAAAACACCTTCACCAACAGGGTTAGTCTAATTGATAAACTGAGGAGGCAGAAAAATCTTAGACTGCAATGCATACATTCACTAGAGAAGGCCTATTGCTTCCCATTTCTCACAATGAACCATTCAGGTGAGTCTCAACTCACCTCCATTATCCTTATTCTAAAATCTGTTCCTGCCTGCAGGATCTGGTACATTATTTCTTGTTAATCCTTGATAATTTAAGGCCTCCCAATGCTTGCTGCTGCCTTAAATGGTTGTCATAGGAAGTCTGAAGGTAGCAAATGGCTTTATGGATTAATAAAAAAATAATCTTAGAACTGCTGTTTAGTTCTTAAGCAAAATAAGAGCAGAAAGAGGAAATAGAAGTGAAAAGGAGGTGTGAAGGGTGGGAAACAGCATGGCATTTTAGGGTAGTGTAATCAGAATCATCTTGGGATGAATATAAACCTTTGTCAAACAAGTAAGCAAAAGTTCAAGCCATTTATCTTTGTCACTCGTTGCAGGAGTAATGTTTCTATTTAATAATTAGTGGATTCAAACTGCTGTGTCTCCTACCTTGGCATATACACTCCATAAATTTATGTTATATGCATGAATTCATACATTTGCTTTAACTGTCATGTGTGTTTCAGCATTCATCTGCAACCATAACAGCTTTTTAATATATGGGTCTCTGGAAGAACCCACATTAAAGAACTGGTCTCAAGTCACACACATATCTGTCTCACTCGCTGCTGTTATCAGTGTAGTTTTCGCTGCATGTGGATATATGACTTTTACAGGATACACAGAAGGTAAACTGTTTGATCCTGCAATTTTGGTGCTTGCTGTAATGCTTGTATTTCCACCTTCCTGTCTGACTTCTGCTGTTAATATTTTAGTGATTGTAAAAATGCCAAAATCATACTATGTTTGGATGGAAATAGTTAGGATATTCCTTGTAGTTATTCAACAAGCAAAACATAATACAAAGATGTTAGGCTATGTGCTAATAGGTTTCAGATTCCCAAGTGTCTCACTGGTCAAAGTCCCCTATGAGTACTTCAATAATCAAAATACTTCTGAGAACTAAACATCTATAATTTAGCCATGTGGCCCACTAGCAGAGAGAAGTAAAAATAAAAATTGCCTTGATTTTTCTACAGGGTGCTTGTCATATTTTTCTGTGTATTCTCCTGTACCTTTTCCTGTCTGTGCTAATAAAACATCCTAGCTCTGACTTAGAGATATTTCCTATCTTTACAACATCTGTTCTGCTGTAACTAATCCTACCGTCATCTCTGTGGGTATATGAATATACATATATGTATAAATATATATAATCAATGTTACATCATACTATTTAACATCATTTTGTCGAAGTGGAGAAGGTGCTTTCAGAAGAACAAGGCATAAATTTGTTCAGTGCATTAGCTTCTTCAGGAAAAATGTGCATTTCAGTAGCAAGTACTTATTTAATAGTGCTGTTCCAAATTGTAGAAGGCTTCCAAACTTTTCCCTCTCCTGATGAGCAGCATCATGTAGTTGAAAACAGAGGAATTGTAGGATGGGGGTTAGTGCTTGGTTTGTCCTTCTTTCTTGCCTCCAGTGCTGTTTATGCAGAGTAACTTACTGTCCCAGATGCAAATGTAGCTAGACTGCAAACTGGCTGAGATATTTCAAGTATAGAAATCTCTGACTGCAGCTATCCCTCAGTATATAATTTTATTGTAAACAGGTTCCATTCTACCTTCTGTCTCTGTTGTCAAAATCTTGTGGCTGTTTTCTCTAATGTATGCCTTACTGCTTCTTCAGTGCCATTGTGATCCTAAGAGTAGTAAATCATAAGACAGTATAGTAATTGTGTAGAAAAGACCTGATAGATCATCTGATTACTGTCTTCCAGTGCCTCTTGTGCCTCAGAAATCATTATTCCAGATTCTTTGTGGTAAACGCTGAGCAAGATGATGATTTGAATTCTCTCACAATGCTTTTGTTGTTAGATGTAAGGAGATTTGCTAGGTAACAATCCATATGTTTATAAGGGGCTTTCGGGATCAGAATATTTTAAATTCTTCAATGTAGTTTACAAGCTATGATTAGGTACTATCAGGGAAAGCAGTTCTCCAGAGGTAACTCACTGGTCTTCCTTGTGCAATTGTTGTTCTAGGAATTACATTTTTAAATGAAATGTATCTTTTACATAGCAGCTTTCTTTCTGAATGTCACAAACACCAGCATCTCATACAAAATCTGTGCGAACGGGAAGATAACAGATGACAAACTCTAATGTGTATATGTTACAATATTTCTGAAAGATAAAGGCTACTTGAAATAAAAACACTGCTACTAGCAGTATAAGGTGGAAGTTTCTCCTGGATGTGATTTGTGACTGTGGCTACAGTTTCTTATGTGTCAGGAGAGGGGACCTCAGCTACTCCAGTAATTTATACTTCATTTTGCAAATAGGCAAATGACACGAAGTTCAAACTAATTGATGTTTTGCTATGCCTCAGGAGATATATTTGAAAACTACTGTAGAGATGACAACCTTGCTACATTTGGAAGGTTTTGTTATGGAGTTACTGTAATTCTGACCTTCCCCCTTGAATGTTTTGTGACCAGAGAGGTAAGAATTTATTACATTCTCCCTTTAACAATCTTGATATATATTAATAATATTCTCACATTATTAATATACACTGTAGATGAAGTCAGTAGTTGTTCTGTGATAAATATCAGCATATCCTATCTTGCTCCATGGAGTGACTATGAAGTACTAGTTGTACTGTTTAGATTCCGGCAATATAATGTTGTATTACATTTATTATAACATTATCCAATATTATATTAACAATTATTTAATAATATCAGGACTTCTTAGAATTCCAAGTTTGGTGTAAATGTCACGGTTGTTATTATGTTGAGAATAGCTGAAAATAGCATATTTATGCTTACTAGTTTTGCTTTGTGAAAATGCCTCCATCTAGGAACTCCATCTGTTCAATAAACAATTGTAGATGGCTTTTCCTCTGTAGTGATTAAATGAGAAGAAAATAAGTATACCCTAAATCCTGCAGGTATAACTTAAGTCAGTCTTGCAAGTGTTCTGCAATGCTTGTTATGAGTTAATTTTGGTAGTGGATGAAAAGGTTTTCTTGAAGCAAGATGGGTAAAGTTCAGTCAGTGTATTCTTACACATTCTTTTAGTTTCCTAAGGTTAGAAAATTTGGAATAAGCTGTTTGTTAACATAAGGAGCAAAATCAAGGTCTAAAATTATGATTCTGTTTCAGGTGATTGCCAATGTGTTTTTCCATGGGAACCTCTCAACAGTTTTCCATATTGTTGTGACAGTAGTTATCATTGCTGTGGCGACTGGTGTATCATTAGTGTATGATTGCCTTGGAATAGTTTTAGAGCTGAATGTAAGTGAACCTGTATACTCTCTTATTTAATAAATCACTTTTTTATAAAACAGAACTCTGAAAAATCCATAGCTCTACTGAAAGTCTTACATAATTTGACATAGTAGTCAGTAGAAATAGTAGGAAAAAAAAGAATTATTCACCACTTCAAAAATCAGATAATTAAAGGAGGAAGTAAGTTCAGGAAGTAAAGTTCATATGGTTAGAGAGGCCTTTAAGAACAGTTTTTGAGATATGGCAAGTGGCTATGACTTACCAAATGTATTTAAACTGCAGTGAAAATCACTAAATTACTCATCCTGACTGTATTACAGGAGTGAATCTAGCATTTCTGTCTCAAATCCCTCCTTCTGATGAAACAGGCAAATTATTAAATACTGGGGCAGGTCCTAATTACTGTCTTGAGCCAAAGGGGCAAAAAATCAAGAGGTGGGCGGGGTGGAGAGAAATAAAGAACCAATAGTAGTGAGGCCACAGAGATAGTAGCTGGAATTTTTCCCTGCTTTGGATTTAACAGGGAGGAAAAACTGAGTAATTTCATAACTTGAGCATATGACCTTTTAGGAGGAAACTGCTCTGTTTGCCAGTAAACATTCCTGTGTCTGCTATCACCTCGTTGCAGAGATGAAGGCACGCCATACAAGGCATTTACTACCTCGAACCAGTTTTAACACATTTATGTAAATTCTCTGATTGGCTGGAACTGCCATGTAGTCTCTTTGAGTCCTAGGATACTAGTTAGCAAAGGAGTCTTACCAGATTAAGTCAGTCTGCTTTGTCACAGAATGTACATTTAATCCAAGGAAATGTTAACAAAAAAAAAAAAAAATCCCATCTGTGTTTATCCTAGAATCATAGAATAGGTTGGTTGGAAGGGACCTTCAAGATCATCTAGTTCCAACCCCCTGCCATGGGTAGGGACACCTTCCACTATCCCAGGTTGCTCAAAGCCCCGTCCAACCTGGCCTTGAACACTGCCAGGGAGGGGGCAGGCACAGCTTCTCTGGGCAACCTGTGCCAGTGCCTCACCACCCTCACAGGAAAGAATTTCTTCCTTATATCTCATCTAAATCTTCTCTCTTTCAGTTTAAAAACATTACCCATTGTCCTATCCCTACACCCCCTGATGAAGAGTCCCTCCCCATCTTTCCTGTAGCCCCATTTAAGTACTGGAAGGTCGCTATAAGGTGTCCCTGGAGCCTTCTCCAGGATGAACACCCCCAATTCTCTCAGCTTGTCCTCACAGGGGAGGTGCTCCAGCCCCCGATCATCTCTGTGGTCTACTCTAGACCCACTTGAGCAGGTCCGTGTCCCTCTTATGTTGGGGGCCCCAGAGCTGGACACAGTGCTCCCAGTGGGGTCTCACAAGAGCAGAGTAGAGGGAGAGAATCCCCTCCCTCGACCTGCTGGCCACACTTCTTTTGATGAAGCCCAGGACACGGTTGACTTTCTGGGCTGTGAGCGCACATTGCTGGCTCGCAGTCAGTTTTCCATCCATTAATGCCCCCAAGTCCTGCGCAAGGCTGCTCTCAATCCATTCTCTACCTTGCCTGTATTTCTGTTTGGGATTGCCCTGACCCCATGTGTAGGGCCTTGTACTTGGCCTTGTTGAACTTCATGAGGTTCACATGGGCCCATGTTTGTTTATGATAAACATTATTTGTCTTAACAGTTTACCTTTAATTTCAGGTTAGTTATTTTTAATAAGTAAAGATGTGGAAATACCATACTCCAGGATATAAGAGTTATAAAGTAGAGAAAACTTTTTAAGGGCAGCCTTTGCTTCTTTATAGAAACATTTTAGAATAGCCTCCTTACATCCCTCTCCATGAATTCATTAACAATTTCAAGCCATATATTGCATGCTTACCGATGGAACAAAACAGAAGGATTTGTTCTTTATGCTACGTGATACATGTACTTGTATGTACATTATGATATATGTACACTGTTCTGATCCGCAGTGCAGTTTATCTGCTAACCAAGAAGTAGTGAGTGATTTTGTAGCAGTGATTTAGCAGGTCATGCTTGCACTAATATTATAGAATAGGTCTGAGTATTCAGATAAGCTACCCTCTGTTTAAAATAATTACTTACGTGGTTTCTTCTCAGTTAATCCTTTCCAAATTATAACTAGCTCAAATAAAAATATTCCTATTGGTTTGGTTGGTATGCATGTTTCCATTAAAATTTCTCATTTGTGTCATCTGTTCACAATTTCTTTTCCATTGTTTTTCCTTCTGTTTTTATGTTGCCAGTGCAGAAGATTCACCTCTGTGTGTATATATACACACCAATAGAAGTATTTAAATGTTTACACACATGCACACATACCTATTCTGGCCAGATATCAGAATACTGCTATAATGAATCTAATTCACTGTGTGCGCCCATATATGTCTATGTATGTATATGTTTTACATCTATTATATGGTATAATATGTTAAGAATAAATTTACACTAGAGAACTGCCAGTGAGTCTTTCTAACATGAATAAATATGTGTGATTCCTGTCTGAAATGAAATTGTTTTAAAATAATCACTCAAAAGCAAACATTCCATCAATGCAATATTTTTACCCAAGAGGCCTCCGCAATTACTTCATAGCCAAGCTGACGGCTTGATTCAGTTACAAATAGAAGTTGATAGCCAGACATTTGAGTGGGTAGTTCATCTCTTGTGGATTGGTTTTTTCCTTTTTAGGATAGAATTTGACAACACAGCTGTAAGATTTTTCAGTCTTGATATCCACCAGTAGAGAAAAATGAATAGACAGTCTTTACATGTGAAGGAAGGATGATCTGTCCTCTCTCTCAGCAGGCTTTCTGTCCAGCAGAAGAGCAGTCCTTTGGCTTTTCACCACAGATGGCATTTGCTGCTATTTCTCTGCTTACTTTTTCTGTGCTTTCTGTTTTTAAAACAAAACACAAGCCATTGTGTTTGCCCTGTGGTAATTCCCCAGGGAAACTGTTCAGTCATATGGGAATCAAGGGTCCGCAGATTTTGCTGTGCTGTTCTTTCACTGGCTGCTCATTTGTGTTGCTTCACATGCTTGAGTGTCTTGGTTCTTATGAAGAAGGTAGTTTGTGCATGTACCTATTTTGTTGTCTGTACTGATCACTCTTAACAGATTCTACCATAAAAATAAACAAAAGTTTGTACAAGCAACGATGTAAGATAATCAGTAGGCTGGATTACTACTGGATTACCCTAATTAAGTTGAAACATTGTGTTAAGTATGTGACAAAGTAAACAGTCAAAATTTCTGCATAAAAATGCTCACTTTGGCATGTAACTCATATGCAGTGGCTTTACCATAAAACTCATTCAAGCAGGTGCTTTTTATCTGTCCCTATCTAAGAGAGCATTTAAAGAGGACTTGTATTTTTAATAAAAGAGCAGGTTACTCTCTCAAGGGGACCTTTGCTTCCATAGGGAAGGCAACCTAAACTGGGTTACAAATGTAGGAAATGATCAGAATTCTTTGAACTGCTACATGATGCTTCCACTTTTTTTAAGGCAGTATTGTATCTAGACTCCTACATGGAATAATCTTAAATATTTTAGGTTAGAATATTGCAGAACTATTAATTTTGGACTTTTACTGTACTTATGAAGCTGAAAAACTTCTGGTAATCAGATTTAATAGTACTTGCAACATACAATATTATTCTGTATCAGCAAAGTGAAAGCATTTGAATAAATCTGAATTATTTCAAAAAGTTTTACAGATATTTTTGCAGGTTATTTGTGACTTTGAAAAGAAAGTTTTCCATATAGCAACACTGGAAAAGGCCTCTATTCTCTGGCTTTACTGTAACATTAATCACAACCATTTAAAAATTTTGGGTTTTATTCTTCACATCTAGATACACATACTTATGAGGGTTTTTTTCTGTTGTTGTTTCCCACACACAGGGAGTTCTGAGTGCTACCCCACTTGTTTTTATCATCCCAACAGCGTGTTATCTAAGGCTGTCCAAAGAACGATGGAACCATTCAGATAACCTCATATCCTGCCTGATTCTTGCTGTCGGTGTGCTAGTGATGACAGTAGGGTTTGTTTTGACTATCTTGCATCCCCAGGAATGCAGCCATGGAAAAGAAATGTTCTACTGCTTCCCTAGTAATGTTTCTTTTCACAACAGTACACTTCCACCATAGGTAGCACCCCAGTCGGCAGGCTAGATCAGGTACATCTCACAGCAAGCCATACGTGCCAGTTTAAAGGAGAGTGGAACAATTAGCTTTTAGGTTTTGATGTGCACTATGAATTTTAAACTATATAACTGTATTTACATACTTGGTTTTATGCTGCAATCCTTTTCCAGATAAGACTTAAGTTTTAGCTGTTGAAACAAATTCTCAGAGGTGCCTTTCAGTAGACCTTACTTAGGTAACTTGCAAACCTATCAAAACAGTCTGCATTTTTTTAACTTAGTCTGCAATGCTGTTTAAAAGCTATAAATGAAATGTTTGTGAATGTAAACATCTCCCATGTTTCATTGCTGTCATTTAGTTTTTATAAATTTTATAATCTTTTGACGTGTATTTATTAGCACACTATAGTATGGGCTTTCAGTATACTGAAAAAAGGTGTGTCTGTGTCACTCTCTGTGTATTAAACTTACGCTGTTAAATTGAAAGACCCCTATTAATTCTGACTTTGATTTTGCAATAACTGTCCTTTAATGCTGAAATCCCTTGTATTGGGTCTTGAGTCAAGGACAATTTTGTATTCTGACTGAACTGTAACTGATACAATTCAAGTGTAACTTATAATTTGTGGTCTTTTAATTAAAAGATATTACACAAGTAAATCCACAGTGGTGAATTTAAAAAGATTCAAGTAAACTGTCTTTGTGAAAATTTCAAGATTGACAGAGAAGACAATGACATGCATAACAAACACAGCTTGATTCTTACCTTTATAACCGTATTTATTTTTTATTAAACTGGATTGAAACATTGCTAAATGCCAAGCATGAGCAAATTCTGTAAGAAAACATTCTGAACTTGGTTATCGTTCTAGTCCTCTGATTCTTTTCAATATATGGCTATTGATTTCATCATGGTTTGTTAGATTTTGGTGATTTGTTATGTTCTCCAAAATTCATTTAACATTAAAGATTCATGTATGTATATATATGTACATATATACATATGCATATATAAAAATACACACAGATACACACATGCCTATAGAATATGAGTAATTTGAAGTTGAGAATGAGTAATGTGCATATACTCTATATTAGTGTTGGGGTATTGAAAATGTTTTGTTACCAAATCAAACTGTGTACCCTGAGTTAGTTTTTGCATTATTGTGGTCATTGTGGTTCCTTTTTCCAGCCATTCCTTGACAACAAGATGTGTAATCCTACTTCATTCTTACAGTGCTAAATGAGGTGGTGATGGTTTTTGTTTTCACTTCACGCTGGATACTGAAACTATTTCATTCAAGACTTCTAGCTAAATAGATCTTTAAGCACTGGTCACTGGATGGTGATAATATGCATGAGAATAACTTTTTAAAGGCGGTGCATTCATAATAAATGTTTCCAGTATTGTTGGGTTTTTGGGATGGTGAATTTTTGTGTTTAAATTGTAAAGTTATTAGAGAGAACTGGGAGTATTAATCTGCTTTAATTTCCCTACATAGAGTCAACTTTGAGGGTGATAATTTATGTTGTCCAGGTAGCTGGTACTGTTGACAGAGAATATTTTTCACGGGTTTAGATCCAGCAATAGCTGATTTTGTCTTAACTGTAAGTAGTCATTGGATAGATTCCCCTACTTCTATGCCAAATGGAGTTAAATAATATTTCCTTATGACAGCTAACAAGATCTTTCTGATGAATCAGAAATCTCTCATGAGCTTTTTTGTTCTTTTTTCTGATTTTTTTTTCCAAATTTTTTGTTGAGTATGCTACCCTGTTTCAAATGCTAATAACGTACTATTCTTGCTTTAGGGTCAATGGAATAATTTATAGGATTTATAAAATTTATAGGATGCACTGTGCCTGTTCAACTTAAAAATTTGACTGAAGATATGTAATATTAAACCTCGTTTACATGTCCTTTATGAAGGACAAGTCTTTCTATGGCCTTCTACTTTCTAAATGCAGATTTAAAGAAAATTTGTTTCATGATGCTTTGCAATTTGGAAAGTGTAAAGTCTGATCAGGGTAGCAATACTCACTTAAATGTTTTCATTGTTGATGAAGCTTTTGCTCTTAAAAGTTTCTTTTGCCAAAACTAATCGCACTCATGTAATCATATGCTCAGTAGTTTTCATTCATGAATTTGCCAGGTGATGATGGGGCTCTCCCAGCCATAAGTATACAGAAAAAGGGAAGTCAGACATCATGGCTGCCAGAATTTAAAGTTAACTGCTATTCGACTAATGGCTTTATAGAAGCTGTAGCTCCTTCCTTTCCAGTATTACGTAGTGTAACCTATCTTTATTAAAATGGCAAATAACAATAACCTGCTGTATGCTTTCTTAGGACCTAGGAGGTCTGAGTACAGAAAGAAGAACCTTTTTATTTCATGATAAAAATTGTGATAGTCAATGATTTTTGGAAACAGTTAAGACCCCCCCAAAATAAAGTTGTAGCTATTACCAAAGCAATACAGGAAGCATTTATGGATATGAAAATAAAGCTGTTATGACATTGGGCAAGTCTTTATGCAGTAGGAAAGAAAGATACATAAACTTAAAAGGACACATTACAGCAAAGTACAACCACATTGAAGAATTACTAGCAAATATACTTAAGCTTTAAAGAGAAGTGTCTTTCAGTGACTAAAAAAATAAGGCAAAAGCAGCAATTTACAATCTGGTAGTTTTAATGGAGCTCACTGAGAATGAATGAAAACTAGTTACTGCCTGTGTTACACTATTGAACAGACTTTTGCACTGAAGAGTATACATTAGATTTGTAGTCATAAAGCAGGTTTGTTCGTTAAGCTAGAGGTACTTAGCACTGCTTAGCTACTGAATGAACCACAACCTCTGACTCTTTATATTTCAGTATGATAAAGTTTTCTTTTTCATCTCAGTATCTTTTCAGATTTGTATCTTGTTTTGGATTTTTGGCAGTGCATGCTAGGGTTTGTTCTAGCTTTGTAAAGTCTATTTGGATGCTTTCACTGGCCTCAGCATGTGCAAGATCTCACCCCTACCACAGGACCTCAAGCAGAGGTGTGCTGTGCACAGCAGTGGAAGGAGTGCTGGAAGCAGTGATAGCCCCAACTCCAAATGCTCTGTGGTGACAGAGCCGCACGGAGTCCAAGCAGAGGGAGAACAGCAGTGTTCCACAAGCACTTGCTGGCAGGGTTTTCACATCAAAAGCTGGTACTGTGACTCACTGTTTTTTCCAAATTCCTCTCTCCAGCTGAGAAGGCATTTCAGGACACCAGATGTACAGTTACCATTCTTGCAGGAGCTAAGCAGACAATTTCTGACTTTGTAGAAAAGTGTGTTTCTTATCAATCACAGACTTCTGCACATTCACAAACTACTTTGTCAGATGAGCAAACCTCAGGTATGACTGTAGAGAACTTTCCTTCCTCCTCAAATTTTTCTATGGAAGTGGAATCAGAATGGCTCAGATTTGCTAAATGAACATAATTCTATATGTTTTTCCCACACAAAATCTTTATGTCTCTCATAACACGTTATCTGGATTTGATATGGTTTGATATTTATCTGTTCAGTAGATACACTACTTCGTATTTGTGCCTCAGTAGCAATCAAAACGTAAATGTAGTGTGAGGATTTATTTGGACTCTATCTGGTGTGAACATTGAATAGAAGTTAGGGATAAAGACAAAACTGGCAGACTAACCAAACGTGAGTGCAAAACATGAGATTGATCACATTCCCATAGCAAGAAGGAGGGAGAAATCAAAAAACAAACATAATGCACAGAAGGTTTATGTTTTTATAGTAATTCAGTTACATGGAGATCTAATTTTAAAAAACAATTCTTGAGTTTCAAGCTAGAAACTGTGTTGCAACATTTGCTGGGTTTTTTAGAATTGGCACAAATTCTACTAAGTAAAGGATTTTAATTCAGGCCAGTGAAGGAAATAAGTAGAAGCTTTCCAGTTTCTTTCATTCAGTGCTTTTGGAGAAGATGAGATTCAGGTACATGCTTAATACAAATTTAACATATGACTCAAAAGTCTTCTTGGAAGGAAATTAGATTGTTTGATTATTCTTCTTTCTGCTTATTTTTCTGTTCCCTCCTAGCTAGATGCTGATTCTAGGTGCTTCATATACTATATGCAACAATACCGTATGGAAAAGCTATAGTTGCTGTATAGAATTCCAAAATCACATGCAGCAGGCATTCAAGAAAAGTTCAGGAAGGTCTGAATTTTCACGTGTGGTTTCCTAAATGAGACAATGGTGTCTAAATTTCGTGGACTTACTGCGTTTATACAAATACTGAAGTAATGAGCTGAAGACAAAAAGAAAGTTAGAAACTAAGTGAAAATTACTGTTAGATGCTGTAGGAATAAATTACAGATGTCATTCTGTAAAACCTGTATTAGATGGGATCATGCAAATTAGCTTTCAGTGGGAAGCTTATGTCTGCCACAAGCAGTACACTTGGCAGTCTCAGCTCAAGCAAGTAGAAGGCTCTATTCTGAAATAAGTCCATGCAGCCTGCTTCAGTTACCTCCTATTTTCCTTTGACTCTTCAGTAGTGTCCTTTGTCTTGATGGTGGCAAAAAAATGACAATGGTGATATTGCTGTCTTGCCAAGACTGACTGAGATTTCATGGCGGTATGTTGTATGAATCTCTCATGACTTGTTTCTAGAGGCATGGGCTATCTTTTTTTTTTTTGTGTGTGTGTGTGTGTGTGTTCATATACTGCTTAGTACAGTGGCTTCTGATATATGACAGGACCTTCTAGGTGCTGTATTAACATCAGCAGTAATTATTATACTTTGGCCATATTTGTTGTTTCTCTATTTTTTTCCCTATCATTAGTGAGTAACAAATATGTCACTGGGTGACAGAGGGTCCCTTTGCTTTTATTTTTAATTCAAATATTCAAACAAAAGGCTTACAAGATGTCTCCATACTTGTTTCACTGCATTTTTATGTCTCTTCTGAAAAGGACGCAGGTGTCACATACCTTATTTATGTAGCCAAAGTGCTCAGTAGTTATTCTAGTTTTTATAGTGCTGCATCTGAACTCTTGTGAAAAGCAGTACCCTGCCTATTATACAGAATATGTTAAAATACAGGGCAGTCCTGGCCTCCTTGGAACACTAATTAACTCATGAAAGGAGGCATGGCTGGTGTCACATGACATTTGATGAAGTCACAGCTGTCTAATTTTGGCCTTCTTTCATATCAAGTCATTTAGAAAGATAATTTTGAGGAAAAAAAGCAAGTATTTTCTTTTAAAGCCAAAACTGACTGCTTAGATAAGATGTAAATGATTAAGAGAGACCCTACAGAGCAAAAAATTTACATGATTATAGGAGCTTATATTTAAAACTTTCCCTTATACCGAACAGTAGCTTTTTTCTTTCATCCTACCTTTTTATATCATAGAAGATGAATGTTTCTAGTGAACTTCCGCAAGTGTTTCAGGCTCTTTCCTGTCATATTGCAAGAGATATGTTAGATGAGAAGAAGCGAATACAGGTATCTTCCTATGCTGTTTGAGGAAGTCACTTGACTAGGCACCACCAAAAAAAAAACAAACCTGGAAAAGAGATGATAAAATGTGAGCATATTTAAACAATGTTCAGGTCACATAAATTCACTGCTGCTCATTTGCTCCTTCTCTTTACATGTTTTGTCTGTTTTATTTTTTCACAGAAAGGAAGGTCTGTCTTATGAAATGAAGTTCTTTTATATCCCAGTTCAGTGCTCTG